ACGGAACCATATGTTGTACCACATCCCCATGGGCAGCCCCAGTCTTGTTCACCGGAAGGAAGGATGGGAATCTCAATGCTGTCCTTAATATGGCAACAATAAGTTCACCATCCTTAATATGGCCACATTAAGGACACCATCCTTAATATGGCCACATTAAGGGGCCACATTGGGGACACAGTCCTTAATACGACCACATTAAGGAAACTGCTTGCTACAGCCACATTGAGGACGCTGTCCTTAATATGGCCACATTGAGGACGATGTACGTAATATGGACGCATAATGGATGCCATCCTTCATATGGCCACATTAAGGAGGCTGTCCATAATATGGTCATATTGAGGAAACTGTCCTTATTATGGCCACATTAAGGAAACTGTTCTTAATAAGGCCACATTAAGGAAGCTATCTTTAATATGGCCACACTAAGGACACCATCCTTAATGAAACGGTGGGCTGCTACGCTACACTACGCTACAGGCCAAAACAGCATAGCGTAGCAGCCGTTTTTTTTTTCGCCAACGCTGTAGTGTTAGCGGCGCTACAAAGCTGCTACTACACGCTACGCTGTGTTACACTACACTGAAGCGCTTTTAGCGGCTATTTTCCGCTACAAAGCGCTGCAGCGTAGCATAACGAGGCCTTTTTTGGGCCTCCTTCCTTTAGCGTTAGCGCAAAACTTCTAATGGCTATGACATAAGTTGTTAGCTGTTAGCGGTTTTAAGCTAAACTAGGCTACGTGTAGCGTAGTGGGCCCACCGTTACTTAATGTGGCCATATTAAGGACAGCTTCCTTAATGTGCATATTAAGGAGATGGTGTCCTTAGTGTGGACATATTGAATACAGCTTCCTTAATGTAGCCATATTAAGGAAGGTGTCCTTAATGCGGCCATATTAAGGACATATTCCTTGATGTGATCATATTAAGAAGTGTCCTTAATGTGGCCATGTTAAGGACATTCATTAATGTGGCCATGTTAAGGATGGCATCCTTAATGTGGCCATATTAATGAATGTCCTTAGTATGGCCACATTAAGGACACTTCTTAATATGGCCACATCAAGGAAGCTGTCCTTAATGTGGCCATATTAAGGATAGTTCTTATTGCGGCCATATTAAGGACAGTCCTTAATTTAGCCATAGTAAGGATAGGCCCCAATGATGTATTCTTGAATATGGCCATATTAAGGAAGGTGTCCTTAATGTGGCCATGTTAAAGATGGCGTCCTTAATTTACAGTGTTCTCAATGAGGCCACATTAAGGACGGCATCCTTAATGTGGCCATATTAAGGATGGGGTCCATTATTTGGCCAAATTAAAGATGGTGTCCTTCATATGGCAACATGAAGGACACTGCTTAATATGTTGGCATTGAGGAAGTTGTCCTTGATATGGTCACATAATGGACACCATCTTTAATATAGATGGCTTCCTTAATGTAGCCATATTAAAGACAGCTTCCTTAATTTGGACAAATTAAGGAAGGTGTCCTTAATGCGGCCATATTAAGGACAGCTTCCTTAATGTGGCCATATTAAGGACAGCTTCCTTAATGTGGCCATATTAAGGAAAGCTTCCTTAATGTGGCCATATTAAGGACTGTGTCCTTAATGTGGCCATATTCAGGATGGTGTCCTTAATTTACATGGATGCCATCCTTAATATGGCCACATTAAGGAAGCTGTCCTTGATATGGCCGCAGGAAGGACACTATCCTTGATATGGCCACATTAAGGAATCTGTCCTTAATATGGCCGCATTAAGGACACCATCCTTAATTTGGCCAAATTAAGGAAGCTGTCTTTAATATGGCCAAACTAAGGACACATTTCTTAATTTGGCCATATAAAGGACAACTTCTTTAATGTGGCCATATTAAGGATGGTTTCCTTATTGTGGAAATATTAAAGACAGATTCCTTAATGTGGCCATATTAAGGATGGCATCTGTGGCCATATTACAGATGGTGTCCTTAATGTGGCCATATTGAGGATGGTGTCATTAATTTGGCCATATTGAGGATAGTGTCCTTAATGTGGCCATATTAAGGACGGCATCTGTGGCCATATTAAGGATGGTGTCCTTAATGTGGCCATATTGAAGATGTTGTCCTTAATATGGCCACACCATACTTAATATGGTCAGATTAAGGTTACCTTCCTTAATCTGGACACATTAAGGATGTCATCCTTAATATGGCCACATTATGGATGCCATCATTTATATGGCCACATTTGGGATGCTGTGCTTAATATCTGTGCCTCTAAAGCAAATATACCTTCCATGAATTCATGCAATTTGTTCTTATCATTCAAGAGATACCTGTGCCTGTCTGGCAGAGTATTTATTACATCTCTCCTCCCTATTTTGGGCACTTTTATCTTGAATAAAATTCATTTCCCAAAAACCCAACAACATCAACATTCAGCATGCTTTCAGAAATCATTCAAGCTTTCTACACCATGGCTCAATCCCTTCCCAGAAACAAAGTCAGATCCAATATCCTCTTGTGAGATGTACACAATTTGTTTTTGTCCTGGAAGTGATAGAAAATCTGCTGGTATACATTATTTTGTTAGGACTGTTCTGGGGGAGTGGACTGGGTCTTCTGGGTTCTGAGTCTTAATGGTAGATTGCAAGATGAGGATCTACAAGGTTGGCTGAGGAT